CCCAACCAGGGTGATCTCTCTCTCTCTCTCTCTCTCTGGTGAGTGCATGAGCCCTATAACAAGAACTAAAAAACAAAAACAAACAAACAAACACAGATATTGGGGGTCAGACTGACTTAAGTTTCTACTGGACTCTATTCTCTTTTGACTACATGACCTTGAGTAAGTTACAATCTTAACTTCCCAAGTTCCTTCTACAAAACAGTTGTCCTACTGACCCTAGAAGGCTGGCATGGGGCCTAAGGTAGCAAACCAAGTAAGGCATCTCTCACAGTGCCCCAGTGATGGTAGGTACCAAATAAACAGCAACAATTTCTCAGTTGAATAAACCTTCATAACTCAAATTTTTTCTTACTTATAATTCTAACTTTTTATAAAAGTAATTATTTTCTTTAGCTTTATTTACTTATTTATTTCAATTTTGACCAGAAAGGGACAGAGAGAGAGAGAAAGAGAGAGAGAGAGGAGAGAGAAAGTGAGAAAGCAAGCTGCCAGGTCTGGGACTCGAACTGCAGTAGGTCATGTGGGAGTCCAGCATCCTTAACCACCATACCACCTGCCAGCCCCTAATTCTAACTTTGAAAATGTTAATTATTTTTGTTTCTCTCTCTGAACCCACTCAAAATTTCCCTTTTAAAATTTTTAATATAGTGCTCAAAACGGTAAGAAGAAGCTAACTGCCCTGAGTTGTCGGGGACGATTTTGCCTTGGTTTTCCCTAAGTTTAATGTGTGAAGAGGAAAACCAGCCATGAGGCCACAGTGAGGGATTCCTCTGGGCTTCTCTGGCTTCTCCAGTTTCAACCTGTGTGCCACGAAAGCAAGAGACTCAGAGAGCATCTAACTTCTTGGACAGACCACTGTTCTGGAGGTCCGATACCGCTGTGGTTTCCACTAAAACCTCAACAGACCAAGGCTGTGTAAAACTATGCAGACTAGTTTTGCAGATTTCAACAAAATCACTTCTGTAACGATGTGAGTCAGAAAGGTAGGAGTGACACTTTCTCCTTGTTCTTTCCCCACATCAAGCAAGGCTTGCATGGTAATTATATTCCTCAGGGGATCTGGCTTGAGAAAGCTGGTCTGACAATCCTAAACCCATTGAAGAGATGTGAGAAGCAATTAAATAAACGAGGAAATACCTTCTTCCCCTCCAGGGGTCTGGGGCTCCCTAAGGAAGGAGAGGAATCCCCCTCCATTACGGCACCTGGCCCTGGCCAGACCACAAAGGGGAAAGGCTGTGTGGTGTGTGCCCTGGAAGACATTGGACTCTTAGCATCAACGGAGGTTGCCGTATTCCACAAGTGGTTATAAAGGAACAGCCACAGGGGGACCAGCAGTTGGCATAATGGCTTTGTCACTGGATTCCCATGTAGTTGATCGCAGTTCGAGTCCCGGACCTGGTGGCTTAAACTCATGCTGGGGGCATGTGCATGCATGCCTAAGATCCCAAGAGGAGAATGGATTGCGGTGTGGCAATCCCCCTGGAAGGTTTCTTGCTTTCTGTCTCTCTGACTCTCTCTGTCTGTCTGGCGAGCGCACACACCCTATACCAAAAACCTCTCAAAAAAAAAAAAAAAGCCACAGGAGTTTAGGGGGCCACAGAGAATTGTCAATGCATATGTAAGTAGAAACCAGAATGTGGAGAGGAGAGCATGGTGCCCCAATTCCTGGGCACATGTAAACACCCTGGAATCTAGTGTTTCCCAGAGAGCGGGGGATTACCCCTGTAATGTTCCTAAATACCTGAATATTTGCACTGAGATTCATTCCTATTGAGGTAGGAGCTTTATAACTTATCAGCACTTTCATACTCTTAACTTCCTCTGATGCTGGCAAAAACAAAAACAAAAACAAACCTGAGAAAGATAATGATCTATTCCAAGCATGTGAGTGCAAAAGCTTAGAGAGAAGAAGTGTCTGGCCCGGGCCTCTATATTTCAATTCTGTGTACTTCTGACCATATTGTGTCTGAAATTTTTTATCCTAATCTTGAATTCCAGCTTTTCCATGTGAGGGCATATTCTAATGTGAAATTGAAGCTACTTTAGTAAGTGACCTTATCGGATACGAAACTGAATTTGCAGCATGCTTACAGTTATGTTGCAAAATATATCACTCAAAGCTGTAACGAGAAAAAGACTCAGCTATTACAGCAAAATAGCAAAGTAATTGGGCATAGGTGGTGGGCAGATTATCTTCTTCTATTTTTTCCTACATTCAAAATATCTTTATTGAATATATGTTCTGTTTACAATGAAAAAAATGTATGATTAATGACTTTTTTTAAGGTAGCTGGATATTTAAACAATTCTCACAATAGCAAGACAGCTTCTTGTAAGAGCTACTTCCCAGAAAACTATACCCCTCCCTTTTATCTCCTCTTCCACTCACAGATGACCTGCTTTTTAGTCAAATATTCAGAATGTCATCTCTTTTCTGTAGATGCTATGTCAAGGGAATGGCAGGATCACTTCGTAAATTCTACACTTTGACAGAAGTCCAGACATTGCCTGGAAAGTACCAATTCCTATTTCAGAGTAGAACATTAGAAGAAGTAATAAGTGGAATTCTACCCTAACTTCCTGTCCTGGTTTCTGAAAGAATTTCTGTCTGCAACGTCTAAGAAGATAACTTTGGGGAGGATGAAATAAAAGGAACTAGCTCTTTATGATCATCCAGTGCTCTCAGAGGGCAGGAGGACATGGTGGGACCGCTGTTCAGCATGTCTGCTCCTGCTCATCCACAGCATTCTGGGACCATTCCCACATGAGCCCCATTGAAGTAAAGGTCTTCCTGGCTTGGGTTTCACCTCACAGGATCCTTCAAGAGCTGAGCCCAGAAGCTGCCTGACATTTTCCTAAGTCATGCTCACTCACCTTCACAAAGCCCAGTGCTCTCCAAGTAAAACTGGGCTTCACATTGGGAGAGACATGTGCCCCAGGGAACACCTGCTCCAGGAAGCTGCACAGCCTGCAGGGCCTCCTCTGGCTTCTTACATCCAGTACAGTGTGCGGGCTCAGGACCCACACAAGTCAGGCAGGAGGAATGACAGGCTACAAATGAGAATCAAACACAGAAAACAATCACAGAATTGAATACCCACTGTCATCAACGGATGTCTCCCATTAACTCAAAACCACTGAGAAAAAATTTTCCAGACATATCCTTTCAGAATACTACTTTCCTAGTGCTTAGACAAAGCATAGGGGTGATAATAATGTATGTGAGAGGGAAAGTGATGGTGGTGTTGGCTGGTAACACCTCCTAGGTCTGGCAAAGGCTGTCAGGCCTGATCACAAAAAATAAAAGCCATCAAACTGGACAATATTGGCCTGGTTTTCCAGAGAAAGGCATTCATGGGTGACCATTGAACATTATGTCATTGGTTTTTATGGAAGATTTTTAGAAGCATTCATACGAAGACCATTACTGTATCTTTTGCAAAAATGTTGCTATGTTATTGTCCATTCTGTCATCCATCATCAGCTATATGAGGGTTCAGGCAGCAAACTCCTCTTAGAATTCACATGGGCAAAAATTACTTTTCTAGACAAATAAGATGCCTGTTTGAGATGCAATGAAAACTTCACATCATCTATCACATCGCAGTATTTTGTTCTCTCTGGCTACTGAAGGAACTCAAAGTTCTACCTAGTACTCAACTCTCTTGTGTCCACATTTCCATACAATTAACTCTCCTGTTCATTATAAGACTCTCTAAATTTTCTTTATTAAAATATTTATTACAGCTTCCCTATTCCAAATGTTTTTCTTATGACTATACTCAAACTCTTTCTTTTCTAAGGTATCCTATGTACCAATAAATATAAATGTCACTTAAAGTGTTTGCTCCTAAAGTTTTAGTTTTAAAAGGCTTATTAAATGGGGTCAGCTGGTAGCATGGTGGTCGAGGGGCTCGATTCTAAATGGTCAACTGCCAGGTTTCCGCTCCAGACCCAGCAGCTTAAAAGACACACTGAGCATGGGTATGTGCTTGCCCGAAGTCCTGACATGAGAATGGAGGAGAAGGGATTGTGGCATGGTCATCCTCCTTGGGGATGCTTTCTCACTTTTGCTCCCCCTCTGTCTCTATCTCTGGGGAGTGCACATTCCCTATACCACGCTTAAAAAAAAATAAAAAAGATAAAGAAGGCTCAAATGACACTGTCTGCCCAATGAGCTCAAAGTCTTTTTGGAAAATAGCTATTTAAGACTTTCCATTTTACTCAGCCCAGAGGCATTGCTGGTGACTCCCAGTTCACTCAGCAGTATCATTAACAAAAAAGAAGTTCTTCAGGGGAAAACAAAATGAAGTCTAAAAAAAAAACATTACCATCCTAGGAAAGGAGAAGGAGCAGATAAAAGTTTCATATTGTCTTAATGCATGGAAAAGGAAATAACATTCCCCATAAAGATACAGGCTTCTGAGTGTCTTTGCAAATTTTCAAATGTGATTTTTCAGATGATCCCTTCATAAGACTACTGCAATGAAAAAAAATGCATATGATGAATGCACTGCCATATGTGATAAACTAGAGGAAAAGTGACCCTGGAAATTGATACTCTATTACTGGGAAAAACAGTAAATCTATCAACATGATCTGGGAATGGGATGCCAACAATACCTTTGCAGACCCCGTGGTCAGGGTAGAAGCCTTCTCCACAGCTGGGCAGACAGTGGCCTTGGCGCAGAGCTTGAGGTGGCACACAGGCCGTGCAGCGAGAGGAGGTGGGTCCAGAGCAACTGGCACAGGAGTTATGACAAACTGAGGAAGGGTGAGAAGACAACACTATGGGACCGAGTTGACCAAAATGCCTACTTCCTGGCTGGGCCATGTGTGTGAAAGGAAGCCCTCTTTTCAGCATTCACTCGGATACCCCAGCAAACAAGGAAAAGGACATGGTAGGAGGCAGCCATACTGCTAAAACTGCCGACAGCACCCAGTAGTCATCTTTTATCCATGTTCTACCTGGTACGTGTCAGCTAGTCTTCATTCAGTGTTTGTCTTAAGTACTTTATACACACTGTCAATTTTAATCCTCATAACTACATGAAGTAAGTGTAATTCCATTTTAAAGGTGAGGAAACTGAGGTCTTGGGAGGTTAAAAAGTTTACCTGAGATCACCAAGCTCATTTGTAGCAGGGCTGGGATTTAGCTCTATGTCTGTGTGGAACTAACTTCTTACTTTCCTTCTCTATCTCCCTCTCTCTGTCTCTTTCCAATAAGCACATGTACCCTATAGCAAAAACTAAGACAAGCAGGGGAGGTAGGGGGGCCAGTACTGGGTTTTATCCACAATTTTATATTCCTAGCATATTTCATGACATATGATATGTACTCAACCAGCATCCACACTGCCTGAATGGAGAAGAGTTGAAGTGTGTGTGTCTATGTGCTGGGAACACTGGAATTTTGACTGGTTTGTCCCCTAGCTCACTGATACTCTCTGCCAAGCCTAGTTCTCTCCAGGCCTGCTTTCCTTGGCATATGCACAGTAGGAGTTTGGACTAAATAGTCAATCAAGATACTTACATGGGCCAGCAGGTGGAGTAGTGGTTAAGGCCCTAGATCCCACATGGCCAACTCCTTGGTTTGAGTCTCAGACACAGCAATGAAAAATACATTGGGTGCAGGTGTGTGTATACTGAAACTCTTGAGAGGAGAATGGAGTAGAAGGGATTGAGACACAGCCATCCCCCCTCAGAGGTGATTTCTTACTTTTCCTCTCTGGCTCTCTCGGGCGAGCACATGTGCCCTATGGCAAAAATCTAAATTAAAAAAATAATAATAAAAAAAGAAGATACTTTCAGCTCTGGTATTCTAGGATTGACTGATTGTAAGAAGTATAACAAAGAATCTGATCACTATGTGCGATGACAATAGGAATGCATTCCCTTGCTTTGGCCCTGTGGCAATAGTGGGGCATCTCTGCATCTAAAACACAGGTGGTGGTAACAAGGCTTGGGCTGACCCTTTGGAAGTACAGGCGACGAGATAGATATACAGAAAGAAGGTGCTGGAAGATAATGGTAGGGGTTGTGAGGGGAGCATGGGAGTAGAATGAAAACCTAAGGGGCAGGACAATGAGGAAAAGAGATGAACCCTGGATAAATAAAGAGGATGGCGAACAAAAGGGAGGTTGATAAGACAAGATAGTAAGCTAGGCCTAAATATCCTGCACTTACAGATGCTAGTCAGAAGTGAGAGTATGTGTGTATGTTTTGAAGAGGAGAGGTGATCACAGTGTTCCAGGCAGCAATAGGTTCTCAGGGCTGCCCATAAGGAAAGATACAAGGCAGACATCTAGGGAAACTTTAAAAAATACATTAAAAAATGTAATCAAAGTGTGAGCCTACTTCGGTGTAAAAAATTTTATAAGAAAAAAAATTCTCTACACGTCTAGCAGGGGACACGTCTAGCAGGTGGTTAAGGTGCTGCACTCTCACATGGCCAACTGCAGTTCAATCTCTACACCTCGTAGCTTGCTTTCTCATGTTTCTTTCTATATATATGGTAAGAGCATGATTCCTATAGCAAGTTAAAAAAATAATAATGATTACAAAATTAAATTAAAATTCTTTTAAAAAGTCTATGTAGGGGCTACAGGTGGTGTGGTGGCTAAGGGTGCTGGACTCCCACATGGCTGACGTGGTTTGAGTCTCATACCTGGAGGCTTGTTTTCTTACCTTCTCTCTTTCTCTCTCTCTGGTCAAATTAAAATAAATAAATAAGATAAATAAAATAATTCTTAAAAAAAAAAGTCTATGCTTTTTTTTTTTTTTTTTTTGGGGGGATTTTTTCATAGAGTATATGCATTTGCTAGATGGAGAGAAAAAGCAAGAAATCACTCCTTGGGGGAATGGCCACACCACAATCTTTTCTCCTCCATTCTCCTCTGGGAATTTTTTGCACACATGTACACATGCCTGGTGTGAGTTTCAAGCCTACAGGTCTGGGAATTGAACCACGGTCGACCATGCAGGAGTCCAGCACCATAACTATTATGTCATCTGCTGGTCCCCATAACTTTATTTTTTTATAATGCAGGTTTTTCCTGAACTCTTTGAAGATCCTTATATATAAGTTGGAAACTTAAAAAGTCTAAAATGTGGAATGTTTCATAGCTTAATTAAGCCTGAAAGAAGAACATATAGATATTGGGTTGTCGGGAAAGTCATGATACCTTTCCTATAGAAAGTGTGACAACTTAATAGACTCTAAAATAAATTTTCAATGGAATACAGACTTCAGCTTTGCTAGCTATTAAACTTGATTTATCTTTTTTAATTTTACTTTTGTGATATGGTGTGGTGGCCAATGCATGAGTTTAAAATGCCCCATAAGGAATGATGTTGTCAGACCTACAACTGAAGTTTGTAACAGTTGGGAAGTATACCAGCACTCTTTGTTGAATATGGTCTTGGTATTTTGATCAGGAAATGGATCTTTAGAGGTCGAGAGCTTTATATTTTCAGTTTTGCCTTCTGGTGTGCAAACCTGAGGAGCCATGATTATGGTGATCTTTGACCAAGACAGATTTGATCAGGGAGCATATGTGTGAGTCCAGCTGAAAACCCAACACTTTCCTGGGTCTCTGCTCCATACTGGGTTTATCTCTTAAAGAGATTAAAAAAGCAAAACAAAACAAAAAAACAATAGCTGGAGATTCTCATAACTAATAAAATTATAATAATGGAAATAATATGCTCTTGGCATTTCAAAGGACCAAATGAATTCTAATTATGATCGATATGCATAAGTCCTGCATTTAATCACTCTAGTCTCCCAGCATTCACCCGTATCTCCCACTGTCACACCAAATATGCATAGGTTGTATAACAGAAAAGCTATCTCTTTTAAAGTAACATTTTATTATACATACAAATTCCCAAGTTAGCAGCATACAGCACCAAGTATAGTCAATCATGTATTAAATACATTTTTTTAAAAATGAGAGGATATGCTGAATATCTTCACTTTATGATAGAAACTGAAAGGCTTTAAGGCAAAGAAGTACAGAGGGCAACAGTAGACATCAGAGAATTCACCAGGGTTGGACGCTAGGGGTGGGGCTTGGGAAAAAATAAGTAACAGACCCAAGCATGTATGTAAACAAGGCAAATGAGTTATGGGATGAAGTATCACAAGAGTAAGAAAAGAGCAAGGTCAATTTTATATATGTGTGTGTGTGTATGCACACACACGCATGCATGTGTGTGCACGCGCACAAGCACATACATGCATATATATGAGATACAAAGTATAACTCAAAAATTTCTGAACATATGTATATATGTATGTGTATATCCAAAATATCTGTGTGTGTGTGTGTGTGTGTGTGTGTATAATAACATCTCCAAAAAATTCAGTATAACAAGTATCAATGGTACTCAACATAATGTAAAGTTATGAGTCTGGTATAACCTTACTTTGATTATCACACACTGCATGCATGCTTTTAAAAACCATATGGTACCCCACACTGATGTATAGCAATTAAAAATAAAAAAAATAAAATGAGAGAGAGGGAGTGTAAGAGAGAGAGAAGGGTGCATTTTCTCACCATGCCATGATCATTCCACCCCAGCCTCTCAGTTACACAGGATTATAGACACACACCACCGTGCCTGGGGTATCTAGGTTGATCCAGGAGTAAAATCCAGGCCTCCCATGTGTCTTCAGCATTGTATAGAGCCACCCTACCACCTGAAACACCACAACCATGTCTTAAATACTTTTTGATGGGACCAGTAGGTGACATGGTGGTTAAGGTGTTGGACTATCACATGGCTAACTGTGATTCAAATCCTGAATCTGCCCGCTTGCCTTCTCACCTTCTCTCTCAGTTTCTCTCGGGTGAATGCACATGCTCTACAGCAAATGAAAAAATAAAAAAATAAATAGAATCATTACTAAAAAAGAAACCCCTTTTTGATGATGATCACCCATTTCTTACCTTTGCACCTGCCATTGGCATCAGCGTAGTACCCACCAGGGCATTCGGAAATGCATTTCCCATCATGCAGCACTGTCTTCTCAGTACAAGTAAGACATCGGGGACTATTAGGACCACAGCTCTTACAGGATTGGTCACAAGCTATGGAGGAGGAAAACCCATGAGAGACAGGAAATTTTGAGGAGGAGAAGCAGTGAAGTCTATTCTTTACAATGTCCATGATTGGTATAAATATAGCAGTCTCATTCTCTGGCTGCTCAGGAGAGTTCTGTTTCCTTGATTCCAATATTTTGAGAAACTCTTTGCTTTCTGTTTTCACAACTGAAGGAGAACTGAAGAATTATTCATTGAACTGAGCATAACAAATACTAGGGCATACGCACAAATGTATCCAATTTAATACAAGATTTACTGTTCCAATGGCCTTGAAGACAGGGTTGCCAGGTTTATCAAATAAAAATACAAGATGCTCAGTTAAATTTGAATTTAAGAAAAATAGTGAGTAATATCAGAATTCAGAAATTTAGGGTTCTACTACTAATGTTATATTAAAATTATTAAACATCCAACAATCTTCTAGGTTCTACTTATTCTCTTATTCATTTGCCCTCTCCCCCAAAATAACATTTATTAAGGTCTGTGTCCAGTGTCGTGCTAAGTAGTAGAAACACAAAAATCAAATTAACTTGGTCTTGACTTTAAGTAGCATATTAGTCTAATTGAGATAAAAGAAACAGAAAATACTAGAAATATTTAAAATATCACTTAGGTCAGTCTGTGTAAGTGCGATGAAAAATATTTTCAACGTGTGTGGGCTAGGAGCTAGAAGTAGTAACCCATGGGCGCTGCTTTGGGAAGTGAGTTTGGCCATACCTGGCTGATGGGAATGTTCTCCTGGCTGAAATAGCAAAGCAAATCAAGACTCAGAGCCTGGGAAGAGACTGAGCTGTCCAGGGATACTGCAGTTCCATTTGGTTAGAAAAGTGGGCAGGGCCAGATTATGGAAACCTGTAGCCAGACTCTGTTGTCCAAACTTCTAGGAGAAGCACTGGGAAGTCCAGAAGTTTTTTAGATTTGTTTTTAATTGTCAGAGGGCATGTGTGCTTCCTCGAGAAAGCAATGAGGAGAGAAAGAACGAACAGCCCTCCAATCAGGTGTGGTCATACCACAATCCCTTCTCTATTTCTCCATCTGCTGGGATCTGGGATGAGCAAGAACATGCACCTGGTATGTTTTTCAAACCATCAGAGCCAGGATTAGAATCATGATTAGAGCCATGTGGGATCTGGCTCCCTCAACTGCTGGGCCACAGAGGTGACCTGGGAGCCAATGAAGTTTTATATGCAGTAGAAACGTGACAGTGTTTGTGTATAAGAAGAAAAGGACTGGACATTCAAAGATACAGGTGGAGAGACTGGCCTTGAATGAACAAAGAAAGGCGTCCTTATCCCGAATGAAAGAAGGGGCTGAGGGAGAGGCAGCTGCACATTAGCCTATGACTCTATCTATGTAACACTCGCTGGCTAACTTCTTTAAAAACAGCAAAGCAAACCTTCGCACTAGAACCAACGTCTCAGGAATAGAGAACTGCGAAAATCTATTTTTTCTGTTCCTGTAATAGACTTACACCCTGCTAACCTCTTGAAAAATATTTTGAAAACTTTAGAAAATAGACATCAAGTGATGGGGTCAAATGTTCCATCCTGCGTCTTGGATTCAGCTTCTCTCTACAAGCGAAGGTGTACAGGAAGATAATCTTCAGTAAATGGGCTGAGGCAATGACCTCAGCATAGAAAAAGAAAACTGTCCCTCAACTCATAAGTGGAGGTAAAGGAAGAAGAACACCCCCCCATTAAAACTATTGAAGTTTCTAACTTTAGAATTGACATCAGGACAGGGACCAGCAGTTGGCATAATGGCTATCTTGCTGAATTCCTAAGTAGTTGACTGCGGTTCGAGTCCTGGACCTAGTAACTTAAACTCATGCCGGGCATGTGTGCGTGCATGCCCAAGATCCCAAGAGGAGAATGGAGAAGAAGGGATTGCGGAGTGAACCCCCCCCCCCCGGGGGTGGGGGGGTGGAGTGGTGATTTCTCTCTTCCTGTCTCTGTCTTTCTGGGAAACCCCCGTGCCCTATTGCAAAAACCCCCCTAAAAAAAAAAAAAAGAATTGACATCAGGACAGAATTGAATAGTATGCAAGCTAAATAGAACTTACCAACCATTAGTCAATCAGTTTCAGTCATAGAGTGCAGACATTCGGTATATGTTAAGTGGGGACATACAATGTCTCTCCTTTATGTTTCTCCTTTATAGCCTGGCTTGCCTCACTCAGCAGTAAATCTTCCATATTTTTCCACTTTCTGTCAAAAGCCAGGGTTTTGTTGGTTTTTATGGCTGAGTAGTATTCCATAGAATATATGTGCCACAGTTTTTCGAGATGGTCATCCATATGGGGGCATTTAGGTTGGTTCCATGTCTTAGCAATAGTGAATAGTGCCTCAATAAACATCGATGTGCAAGCACTTTTCCAGTGAAGAATTCTGCTCTCCTTTGGGTAGATACCGAGGAGTGGGATTGCTGGATCATATGGTAGTTCTATTTGTAGATTTTTGAGGAAAGCTAAACAATGCGATTTAAAGTATATACAAAAAGAAATAAATTAAAAAAAAAAAAAAACATGCTGGACTCGTGTGCATGCATGCCCAAGATCCCGAGAGGAGAACGGAGGAGAAGGGATTGCGGCATGGCCATCTCCCCTAGGGGGTGATTTCTCACTTTCTGTCTCTCTGTCTCTCTCTGTCTGTCTGGAGAGTGCACATGTCTTATAGCAAAAACCCTCTCAAAAAAATAAAAAATAAATAATAAATAAATAAATAGAACTTCCCAGAAATGATGAATTACAGAAAGTTCAAAATTTTCGACTGGCCAATAATGAAAATATTACTTTTTTTTGCTACAGGGTACATGAACTTGCCAGAAAGAGACAGAGAGAGAAAGACAGAGAGAGGGAAAATAAGATATCATGCCCCAAGACAAATGGCCACACCATAGTCTTTTCTCCTCAAGTCTAATCTTGGAATTTGGAGCACGTATGCACATGCACCTGGAGTGATTTTCAAGCTACCAAGTCTAGGATTCGAACCACGCGGCCAGCCATGTGGGCCCTAGTGCTTTAACCTCCATGCCATCTGTTGGCCTATTCCATAAACATTTTTAAGACATACCTAAAATGATACTTAGAGAATAATTTGTAAATTTAAATAAATTAAAAAGTCATTTCTTGACAAATTTCAATTTACAACTTCAATATAATATCAATAAAAGTTTGTTTAACTTTCTTAGAAATTCAGTAAGCATACTTTACAGTCCATGAATGGCTAAGTGAACATTCAACAGGAAGAAAACAGGTAAATTTCCTTAGATACTGATGCATATAAAGCAATAGGAATTAATGAACAAAACATTGTTGTAATAGTATAAGAACAGAACTTTAGACTATAAAAATTTCTAATTTCCATAGAAATTATGTCACATAGTTCAGACAGACCTATGCACATATAGAAATTTAATATAAAATAAAGACAGCTGGGGAAGGTTAGATTGAACTACTGGATAATGTTGAAAAAAACTGGATCACAGAATGAATACAAATCAAACTGGATCCCTATGTAAACCTGCATATATAAGTAGACTCCAGATGGGTCAACAATCTAAGTTAAGATAAAATTGTCAAATTAATAGAAAAAAGTAGGATAACTTATTTTTTATTTAACTTTATCTATTCACTTATTTTAATTGACCGGAGAGGGACAGAGTGAGAGAGAGAGAGAGAGAGAGAGAGAGAGAGAAAGTGAGAAAGCAAATTGCCAGATCTGAGACTCAAACCGTGGTCGGCAATGTGGGAGTCCAGCACCCTTAACCACCACGCCACCTGTTGGCCCCAGGGTAACTTATTACGGGACAATAATAGAGTAGGCCTTTTAAAAAATTAAAAAGTAAAACCTTAAAAAATGATAAATTGGGACAGCAGGTGGCATACCGGTTATGGTGCTAGACTCCCATGTAGCTGACCTCGTTTTGAGTCTCAGCCCCAGTGCCTTGAAACTCATGCCAGGTGCATGTGCGTGCATGCCTAAGATCCCAAAAGGAGAATGAAATTCAACCCGGGGGGTGAATTTTCACTTTCAGTCTCTCTGTCTTTCCCTGACTATCTGACAAGCACATGTACTCTATCGAAAAAAAATCACTTAAAAAAAATTTTTTTAATTCCTTTTCAACAAAGGGTATGTTTAAAGTTAAAAGACAACAGAATGGGAATTATGTTCATATTTAAAACGAACTAAAATGAATATCTGTAACATACAAGACACTCCATAAAAGCCAGCAAGGCCAGTCAAACAATGGGAAAAGCGCATTAAAAACCAATTTATAGAAGAGGAAACTGAAAGTCCAATAGGAGCTGAGATCTGCTCAAACTCACTAATAAACAGAAATATGCAAACGACATGGGATGTCCCTTTATACCTATTGACCAGGAAAAAATCAGAAACTTTGATAATGCCAGATGGTAGCA